TGAGTGGGATTAAGCAGCAGAGAAGGGAGAACAAGAGGAGATCAGATGAATAGATATTTCTTATGTATAAAATGCTTTTTTTCTGTCAAAACAGAGCATATCTAAAACATAATTTAATGATGCCTGCTGTGATATTGTTGAGTGGGATTAAGCAGCAGAGAAGGGAGAACAAGAGGAGATCAGATGAATAGATATTTCTAATGTATAAAATGCTTTTTTTCTGTCAAAACAGAGCATATCTAAAACATAATTTAATGATGCCTGCTGTGATATTAATAACTATATTAGCTTCCTATTGTGATAATAAGTTATCACAGCTTAGTGATGTAAAAAACCGCATATTTACTATCTTACAGTTCTGGGGGTCAAAAGCCAAAATCAGCTTCACTGGGCTGAAGTCATGCAGAGCTGGTTTTTTTCTAGAGGCTTCAGCAGAGAATCCATTTCTGTGCCTTTCTGAGTTTCCAAAGCTGCCTGCACTCCTTAGCTGTGACCCTTTCCTCCATTTTCGAAGCACATCACTCCAGCCTCTGGTTCCATCCTCAGATCTTTTTCATTTAGCCTGTTGCCTCCCTCTTACAAAAACCTTTGTTATTATCTACTTGGATAATGCAAAATCCTTAAATTATCTCAAAATCCTTAAATTAATCACATTTGGAAAGTCCACTCTGTTATGTAAAGTAGCATATTCACAGGTTCTGGGGATTAGGAAATGAACACTTGGAGAGGAGGACCATTATTCCGCCTACCACAGTAGCTTTCTGATAGCACTCGTGACTCAGCTCTTGTCAAGATGTGACCGATACATATACTGATACCAATGACTGAGTGAGTGAATGAATGAAGACCTTTTAGTGATTCAACAAATATTTATTATTGGGTCCATAATGTGCTTGGTTACGTTTTAGACTATTTCAGAGGTTATCCAGGAAACCAGTGCTTATTTTACACAGTTTACCCTCCTAGGTCTCAAAGAAAGTCCTATCATATTAAAATGGCAGCCAGTTCATTGATTACGATGGAATTAAGACAAGAGAAGAGAAGGCGGCAAGCCTATTTAAAATCATTTTGTCTAACGCAGTTGCCTACAAAAAAGGCAAACAGAAAAATACAGACCCAGATGACCAATGGATCCCAGCCATGGCTGGGCCCTGACCCCTCACCCCAGCCGTGGCTGAACCCTGACCCCTCACCCCAGCCGTGGATGAACTCTGACCCCTCACCCCAGCTGCTTCTGGGCCCAATAAAGACAAAGCTACGCACACTCCCTGGAGCCTTCTTGGCCTCAGCTAATTGGTTCCTGGCTTGGTTTTGGACGCACGCGGCACGGCTTTGAGATGAGGAACTCCCGGCTCCCTGGTAGGGGAGCAGAGATGTGCACGGCTCTCTGGTGCGGCTTTGCAAGCCCCGTACGCAGAAGCCCAGAGTGCATGCCTCGCAATTGGCCGAGTCATGGGACCCTTCCAAAGGCACCTCCGCGATCACCGGCATCTGCGGAAACTTCCTGATGCCGCCTCCATAGTATCTCTCCAGAATATGCCGCACCAGGTTGTTCAGAATCCTCGTGGTACTATCTGGGGAGAACTCAGGCATCTCATATTGGGGCCAGGAACACTTCTGGCACCTCTGAGCAAAGAGCCGCACACGCACCTGGCCCCGGGCTCTCCCGTCCTCCCAGTACGTGTGGAACAGAACGTGCACTTGTGCAGAAGCCCAACTTCGCTGGCACGAGGAACACCGGAACCTGCAGGCAGAAGGAAGAAGTCCATTGTGTCCTCAGCTGACTGTTGACCTGAGGGAAAATGGTCCCAGCCTCCATCACGAAGATCCCTTTCAATGTGATAAACTTCATGTTATTAGCATTGTTTCAGTCACTGACAAACAGGAACAAGAGGGGTTGTGTTTCAGATAAAGTTTTTTCCTGCGACCTACTGAGCCTCCACCCATATGTTGTCCTCAAGTCTGCCTCTTTGCTAGTAAAACATCTCTAGATGTCTCAGAGGGGAAATAATAATTGCCATCTGCCAGTGAAATTTGTTCCTCAATATGGTAACAGAAAACTTTTATAAAGTACCTTTTTTGAGGCAGGCACTGTAATTGGTGCTTTATAATGCTATCCCATTTTATTTTTAAAGTGCTTCTATGAAGTAGGCATTATTGAGCCCACTATCCAGATAAAGAAACTGGATACACACCCTGCTCAAGGACATAAAGGGTAAGTGGTAGAGGCATGTTTCTAACCCCAGGCCATTTGACTCCAACCTTGTTTATCTACCTACTCTACCACATCACCTCTAACGAGCAACATGGCTAGTCTTCCACATAGATAAACGGTCTAGGACCTGGAGCAATAATACTTGGATTGAAGTACACAGTTTACACCAGTGGGACCTTGGGTAAAGCAATTCCTTCTCTTTTTAACATCCATAAAAAAAAAAAAAAAAAGAATCAAGGGTTATATTGTCAGCATCAAATGAGATAATGCATGAGAAAACACTTTATAAACTACAAAATGCTTTTCAAAAGCTGATTGATATTTTCCAAAAGCATGCTGGTAGGTAGCTTTCCCCATTTCAAAATGACTATCAAATCAATTCATCTGAACAAGAGAAACACTTTCCTGTCTGGGGGAGTGCCAAAATGATAAAAGACATCATGAATCCCTCAAATCACCAGCTCGGGCTGGTGTGGAGAAAAACACACCATTCACTTAATTACAAAGCAGAACAAAATGACTACTATATGGGCCCTGGCAAGTAGCTTGAAAACTGTTCTGCAGAACCTTAGAGGCTTCATTTAAACAATGGATTCTGCAGCTAAAAATAAATATATATATTATATAGTCTGTAATATATAAATATATATTATTTATAAATGTATTATTTTAAAATATATATAATATACAGTCATGCATCACTTAACTATGGGAATACATTCTGAGCAATGTTTCATGAGGAGATTTCATCATTGTGTGAACATCAGAGAGTGTACTTACACAGATCTAGGTGGTATAGCCTATGGCTCCTAGGCTACAAAACTGTGTGGCATGTTACTGTGCTGAATACCGTGGGCAGCTGTAACACAATTGTAAGTATGTGTGTATCTAAACATAGGGAAGGTACAGAGAAAATACAGTATTATAACTTTAAGGGACCACCGTCATATATGCAGCCCATTGTTGACTGAAAGTTTGTTATGTGGTGCATGACTATATATTTACATATGTATATATATATATATGTATGTGTATATATATTTATATATGTGTTATATATACCTATATATGTGTACTATATACACATACATACATAAATAGATTACCATTCTCTTATGGGAATGTAGAAAAAACACTCTGCCTAAGAGAACCAGGGAATGAATGCCAGGGAAGAGGGGGCACTTGAAGGAAGGAGGTGGTCCCAGCCCCAGGCTTATACTGAACAGGGCCAGCGCTAGGAGAGCTGCTGCAGCCTGGGGAGGCTGGTCAGGAAAGACGAGGGAGACAGCAGAAGACTCTAGAGAGGGTCTGGAACAAATGAGGTGATGAGAGAATGGGAGGGCAGATTTATGGGACATGGAGGCACTCTCGAAGAATTTCCAGGAGGGAAAAATTTAGGGAGGGACACCTAGGAAAAGATGAAACTTCTTGCAGTTAAACAAGATGGAGGGTTGGAGTTTTATCATTTAGACCCTAAAGAGCACTGTGAACACAAAAGGATGGAGAGCCTGGTGACATTTATTCTTTTAACAAGCTCTCAAAGGAATAAATCATGCTAAGCTGAGCCTCTTTGCTCAGGAAGGCCTACTGTGGCCTTCCACACTCACCTGCCAAATGCTCTCTGTTGGTATTGCTTCCAACCTCGGGCCACGCAGCCTGGCTGCAGGGTCCTATCCAACATCAGGGTCCATTTGGCCCAGGGTATCTCCTGCTGCATCAGTTCTTGAAAGGTCTGCTCCCAAGTCTCAATATCCAAAACCATTCTCTTCCTCTGAGGTGGAGAGTTAGTGATGAGTGAGTTACTTCCAGTTTCTCTGGATTCTCAGCAAGAGAGAAAAACAGTTTCAGTTTCTGTTTAGACATGAGCTGTTTTTTTCACTTCCGTTTCAGACTGTTTCAGACAAGTCTTTGTTCTGAAGACAGAGGGCAGCAGAGTTTTGTTAGTTTGTTAACAAGCCTTGCTAAGAGAGATGTCTGAATACAGAGCTCTGTCCCCGATTCTGTGGTCACAGTTAAGTTAGTCTTCATTTTATTTTTCTCCTTTTTACTATAGGCAAAGCACTATGTTCAGCACTGGGACAAAGCAGTATCCTGTGACTAAATAACAGTCCCTCCCCCGCAGATGCTAGTACCCTTGTGGAAACATGCTGGGTAGGTGGGGGAGGGGCATGCGTTCCACACTCATCGCTGGGGGATTATTCCTGGTATTTTGCAGGTGAGCTGCACAGAGCTGGGGTCCCCTGCCCAAAGCCACCCAACCAGTGAGCAGTAGAGGTTAAAACTTGAACCCAGGTCTTGTGTGACTCCAAAACCTGCAATGTCTCCACCCACCTCACTCCTTAAGAAGCTAAGGATGGTGTTTCCAGTTCAAGGCTGGTACACTAGAACCAGTGTGGGAGGAGCTGCTGGCCTAATGGTTTGGTCTGGTGGGATTTTCTGGGTTCTGGGGCAGGCAACCAGACCACATAAAGGGATTTCTTAACTCCACCGTTCACTCTACATTATCTGGCAGGGCAGTATATAAGCAGGTGTAGGAGCCACCTTTCAGTGGTGGGATAAGGAGACTTTTCATTCTTGGGGTGAGGGATTGGGACTAAATGAGCTTTAAAGACATTTCAAAGTCAAAGAGTCTGTGAAAGTTTCAGAATCAAAATGGAGTTGCTTGTGTTTAAAAAAACAAAAACAAAACAGACAAACAGAGCCAGGAAGGACATAAAGGGTGGGCTTCTCATACACAAATGCCTAATAACAGGAGCTATCTCAAAGGACTCTGCAAAACCACAGCCTTGCACAAAGATCATTGCAACCTTACACAAAAATACTTCTGCAAGGACAACTGCCCAGCAGCTGCCTGTCCAACCTCAGACTGGTCATCACCCTTGTTATTGATCCTAATAGCCAGGGATAATTATTCCAAACAATTATGTAATCTTCCATCATTTCTCCTTTAAAACCCCTTGTCCTCCTTTACCTTCCTGAATACACACATATTCCCATTATATTGCCCTATTCCCGAATAAATATTATTTTCTTTTAGAAAGCCTCTCTCTGTTTGTTATCTAGGTTGACAATTATAAGATTCTAGAAAGTAAACTTTGTTCCCCTGGAGTTTAAATTCAAATGAGGAAGATAGAAAGAGCAGGACACCTGTGTCCTTGGAAACTCCACTATAGCTTTCACATCTGAGACAGGATCAGCCTAAGTCTTCTCAGGCCTTCCAGACTTTAATGTGCCTTTTTTTGGGAGCCAGAACCACCTCCCTCTTCCCCCCCTCCCAGGATAGTCTGTTCCATACACACTATGTCTGCTTTTATAGCCTTAAAAATTGAGGGCACCTATGTCTATCCAGATGACATAGGAAACTTTAGGAACTTGGAATTGGAGCCACAGGACATTAGAGCTGGAAAGCCCTTAGGAATCAACTTGCTCTTTTTTCCCTCCAATTTTTATATGTAAGAAAACTGAGACCCAGAGGAATGAGTTCTCCTGCCCAAAATCACATAGTAAATTAGTGCCAATACAGGACCCAGCTCCGAACTCTACTCACCTGCCCACTCATGCATTGACCCTTTCCCCACCCTTTCTCTCCTACTTTCTGCTGGTTTTAGGATTCCAAATCCACTCTTTTCATCCTTTACCTTCAGAGTATGCCTTCATAGAATCCCCTGACCCCTCAAATGCTCAAATGCTTTGTTTTTCCCAAAATGTAGCAGTGACCTCCCATTGTACTCCCTCAGGATTTCCTTCTACCTCTGCTTCCTGAGTTCCCTTTGACATGCACAATGCTACAGGTCAGCCTGGCCCTGGCCCATGGCATGGGGGCTGGAGGGAGAGGGGAGATTAAGGGTGTGATTTGAGATTTGAGGGCTGGAGGAAGCCCACCACCTTCCCCACACCAAGAAGGAAAAGAAGGAGAAAGAGAAGAAAAATAAGGAAATTACAGCCCCTTTTACAATCCCATGATGCACTTAAGCCACTCATATTTTGTTTGCACCAAGGCATTGTAATTCCAGGATAAGAGAATTGTAGAAATTGGTAGTTAGAAGAGATCTTAGACATCATCTTGTGACACCCCCTGCCCCCCACCCTCCGATTCACTGAAACCCATTGAGTGAAAATGACTTCCTCAAGTCACACAGTGTGATTGTGGTAACCTTCTGGGCATAATCCTGCCGACAACACCAATTGTGGAGCTAGAGCTGGGGTCTGGAGCTCACAGACTCCTCGAGCCAGTTCACAAACCCTTCACATGAAGGTCTATGCCTTCACATGAAGGTCTATGAGCTAGGTAACTGGCAAAAAGTTCCTTGGAGCCTTGGCAGAAGTAGGAATAGTCTTTATTCAGCACACACAACACTAGGAGCAAGGCAGCACAAAGGAGAAACTCAGAAACTCAACTGCTGCCAGTGAAGTCCAAAGAAAAACTGAAACTGAGCAGCTGCCAGCAGAGTAAACATGCTCTATTGTTAGACAGGAGCTCTCTGCCTTCAGCTTGCTTCACAAACTGCAGAACACACAATAGCTACAAAACTAAAAAGATACATTGGTGCACATGTGCACTAACTCCACCCACACAACTTGTTTACAAGAAATGTCCGGGGAGCCTGATTAAATTATCCTATTTTCCCCACACCTTCAGGCTTTCAACAACTGTTGATGCCTCCTTTTAGATTGGTTAAAGAACTGCTGGAAAGAGAAAGGATTCCCAAGGGAATAAAAGTGTTGATCAATTCTGAAAAGGAAGGGCACAGAAAAACTTAGATTCTCAGACGTTCAGAGCTAGAATGAATCTACAGGATTATCTTATCCTGGGATAGAAAGTGATGTACCTCTCCTTCTCTTGCCCAAGACAGACATTGCCAATGAACGCTTGCATCTTTCTCTCAGGTCTGGATGGAACTTCCAGATCCCTCCCTTCACAGTGTTGTAGGCAGCCACTACCATCCTGCCATTCCTGCAATCATCCAACTTCCTTATTTTACATGTTGCAGAAACGAAAGCAAAGATGGACTCAGTTTAACCAAGTCTTCATCAAGTTCAGTTTTTATAATCTTAGGCATGCACCCATTTTTGGAATATCGCATGATTCATCTCAAATAGTGCTAGCACAAAGTTTAACACAAAGACATGTCCTTTTCTTGGGAATATTTTTTAGGATTGGAAAGAAAAGGAGGCTAGACATGCATAATAAGGATTGACGGGGATCGGAATGAAAGAAGGGGTGAAGGCCCTATCTATGGCACTTATCTACTTGATAATTTATTTTTGTAGTTACTGTAGCTTGGCTGTGGGAGGGGATTCACTTTGGTTACAAGAGAGAAACAAGAAGCAAAAGAGCAATCCTTAAGGTAGCAATACTTTTATTTACCTTTTTAAGATCTCTGGCCAGTTAGCATAGGCTCTGTAGGTATATGCAGAACAGATACAGAAAAAATTTAAGATGATTGAATGAGGAACATGTGTCAGCTCTTCAGAGTAGGGAGGATTGAATTCTGGACTAAGGATCTCTGCTGTGTTGGTAATGCTGGACATATATTTTCACTGCCCTGACACTGAGATGACCTGTCTAATAAGTGTTAGAGCCAGGACTTAAATTTTTCTGATGCTGCATTAAATTCCAGGAAAGTATGTGCATTTCTAAAGAAGGAATGAGTCACCAATGGTAGAACAGTCTGTAGAAGAACAGGAGCTATTTTGGGGAATCTGAATGGGTATCTTTGTGCTGCTCCTCTAAGGACTGTGCTCTGTGGTCTGGAGCTCCTGGGCACATCCTAGTATGGACCACTGCTCCAGTTAAGACTTCCTCTCAGCAAAAGGTCAGCCTAGATGGGAAGGGAAGTGTTGAAATCACACCATCCTGGAATTTAATGGTAGGGGCTGATTTTACTCTTCAGCACTGCCCCTACACTTCACATTGTAGATAGTCTCACCTATGTACAGCAGGGAGCCAGTGGAGTTAAGGGAAAGCAGAATTAGACAGTCAGCTTAAAAAGATCAAATAACACATTTATCAAATACCTATAATCTGCTAGTCCCACAGTCCTTATCCTCAGGCAGGGCTTAGTCTAGCAAAAAATGCAGACATGTAAAGGAACACCTACCTTTACTTGCCCAAGTCTCACTTTCTCAGTTTGCCCTATTAGTTAAGAGCATAGATCTGGAGCCACCTCAGGCAGGGCTTAGTCTAGCAAAAAATGCAGACATGTAAAGGAACACCTACCTTTACTTTGCCCAAGTCTCACTTTCTCAGTTTGCCCTATTAGTTAAGAGCATAGATCTGGAGCCAGAATACCTATGTTGAGTCTTAGTTCCACCGTTTACCACCTTGGTGGCCTTGGGCAAGTCCCTTAACATCTCTGTGCCTCAGTGTCCCTATATAACTGGAGATAATACTACTCCATACTTCACAGGGCTGTTGTGGGGATTGAATGCGTTTAAAAAGTTATTGGCACCTGGTAAGCAAGTACAAGTGTTTGCTATTTTGTCGTCGTCGTTGCTCTGTTGCTTGTTTCTTTCAAAGTATCATAATGTCTTTCTTAAACATGTTGGGAATGTGACAAAATAAAATTACAGGTACTTTTTTAAAAATTCTAATATAGGGAGGAAAAAAACAACAAATAGAAATATGTGTAAGTACTCAGAAAGCACAATAGTCACTTAAAAACCCAGGCTGAGGCAGAAATATACATTCCTATCATACCTTGTAATCTCTACTCTGTGCGCCTCTGGGCAAGGCCAGCTCTTCCCCCAGGACACACGCCCAGCCTCTGTCTCCATGGCCAGCTACCCCGTGAAAGGTGA